TCCATACTCACTTGAACTCAAAGAAGATAGAACCTTAGCAAGAGAGTCCTTTCATGTGGAAATTATGAGTCTTCAGCAAAAGGTGCCACTTCTGATGCATCCTCCTGGAGCCCAACCTCAGAGTGAGCTAACAGTTGTGATATCTGCTTAGTTCCTATCTAAGGAACTTTCCCACTGGCAGAACTGGGACAGGAAACAGACTCTCACCAGACACCAAGTCTTCTGGTGCCTTGATTTTGGACTTTACAGTCTCCAGAACTGTAAGAAAAATATTTATGTTGCTTATAAACTACCCAATCTATGTGGTATTTTTGTTATAGCAGCCAGAATGGACTAAGACAGTATGTTATTTTATTATAGTTATAATACCAATCATGATATTGCCTTGCTCTTGGAGCTTAATGTAATACCACATAGATTGGCAAGCTTGCATGCAGGGTAGCCCTCCACTGATATCATTGTCCCACAAGCCATACTGCCAAACGGTTACATAATGTCTGTGATATAGCTACTTAATTTAAACCCTAGGAATGATATGGGCACCGATAATATATATCCAATTGCTGAAACCCAGATTTTGAATTTGCTTCTCAGTATGATATCCAAAATATATGAAGCCAAATGTTAGAATTTTGAGTGTTTATATTCACTTCTAAGCTATAATAGCAATCAAATTGTATGAAGAATTCTCTTTCTACAAGTGATATTCTGTTGTACTGTCTTCAAAACTCTAACCTGAGTTCATAAGCAAATCCACTGTGCCACTAGTTTAATCGTCCATTTGAAGGAGGATTAATCTTATAATTCCCAAGCATCTATCCCTCCCAAACTCTAATATTCTTGCATATCTGAGTAACTTGAGGAGAAAAACTTAGGACTTTCGTTTTCCTCTTCTATTTTAATAGTGACTTTTTTCAATAATAGCAAACTTACTCTGCTAGAAAGTTAAGAAAAAAAAAAAAAGCCCAAAAGAGAACCAGTATTTCTCTCTGTCTATATGAGATTCAGCATACATTTTGGCAGGTACTATTGTGTGATAATGGAACATTCATAATTTGTATTCCCACTCATTGGCTGGCTGAATGCAGGTCTCCTAAACTCCCAGGCACCACTGTTACTCCGACACTTGATCCAATATACCATGCATCAAGAAGACCAAAACATGAGTCTAGGCTTCTGCAAATCCCTTCCCTGATTTCATTTTTCAAAGTGTTGGAGCATTCTCTAGGACTATTCAACAACACAGTCGGCCCTGACATTACCTTATTCTTGTTTTTTTCCCCCTTGTCTCCCCAAATGGATTGAAAACACCTGATGGTCAGAAATAGCGTTGGTTCCCAATAGAATCTTGTAGATTTGAGTCTAAGCAGATATGCAATTCTCTACTCTTACCTGATACCCAGGCACAGCCACTTCTGGTTGTCAGGCACTTGGACCAGCCCTTCATTGGGATGCAGAGAGGAGTACGTTAAAGGAAAAAGTTTTCTCCGTTAAAACAGTCATCCAGTTCTGTGAGCAACTCTTATCTTGAGATATTCTTCCTGATAATCCTAAAATGCCCTCTTCTCCCTCAGATGTTCACTCTACTACGTCTCTCTTTCTGGTACTCTCTCCTCCCATCCAAGTCTCCAGTTCCCCTAATTTTCAGACCTTACACTACCAGAAGCTATTCAAATATGTATAATGCACCTCTGATGGACCAGACACCATCACCCAACATCCACAGAGCAACAGAGAACCTACCTTTGGAACTTTGTGTCAATATGGAAAAGAGACAAGTAGGAAAACAATGAATGATAAAAGGGTGTATATGGGTATGAGAGCATGTAGTAGGAGTATCTAGTCCTGTTTGGAGGGCTTCCCAAAGGAACTGAGATGTGGAGAATGTGGAGGAATTAGTCAATTGAAGAGTTGAGAAGATATTCCAGAGAGAGAGAGAGAGGTAGAGAGAGAGAGAGAGGGAGGGAGGGAGAGAGAGAGAGGCAGAGAGAGAGGTAGAGAGAGAGAGATACTGATTTGTTCAAGCAACTCAAAGTAATTCAGTATCTAGTGTGGCAGGGCCTTGGTGTTGGGAGTGGGCAAGGAGAGGCCAGCTATGAGTACTAGGTATTAATGGGGCTGCTTAAAGCCTAAGGCAGCTCCTGGCTGGCTCGGTTAGTGGAGCATGAGACTCTTGATCTCAGAATCATTAGTTTGAGCACCTCGCTGGGTGCAGAGCTTACTTAACAAAAACAAAACAAAACCAAAAACCTAAAGGGAAACCATTGAAGAGTTGTAAGCTGGGGAATGACTGATTAAATCATCACTTTTAAAAGGCTTTCCTTGTCTGAGCTGAGTGAAAAAATATCCAAGCTGATCTTGAAAAAGGCTGGGGTGCAGTGAAACAGGTGAGAAATAAGGATTAGTGTGTGGCTTTCAAGTTAGAAAGAAGTTGCCCGATTTGAGAAATATTTAGGCAAAATTACAATCTATAGGACTTGGTGGTTGATAACATTCCATGATGTGGGTAGCCTAAGAGAGTAGCCCAAGAGGACACAACAGGGAAGTAGTGGGGCCTTTCCCTGTGATGGTGAACATGGGAGAAGAGCAGGTTTCAGCAGAAGAATGCCCAGTTTCCTCAGTTGAATATTGTGTACCGGATTTAAGGTAACTGCATGGAGCTCAATGAGAACTCGAATTATGTATATAGATTTGTGAATCTTTGGCACAAAGAGATACTAATGGAAGCCACAGAAAATGTGAGCCAAGCAAGAAGTCTTTCCTCAGTTCCTCTATATCAGGGACCTGTCATTGTGATAACAGCCTGAGTGAGGGGCCCTGACTCCTCAAACTGATGCCACACGAAGATAGGAGAATTTACAAGAGCATTGCCTAAGGTGTAGTTAGGCTGAAAAACTGTTCCCCGAAAAAAAATCATACACACACACACACACACACACACACACACACACACGTTGTTCAATGATCAAATAAATTTGGAAAAATCTGTGCACTTAGAGAATATTAATGACTGACAAGTTCTGCAGTAAAGATCCATTTCCCCTTTAATTTAGCATTTTCCATAAGCCAGCCCTGGTCACAGGTGATTCCAGAATCTGAGTGTGTCAAGTTGAAGGAAGACAGAGAAAGCTAGCTTTTCCAGATACATGTTTCTTTTCACTGTTGTCTTCTTCTTCTTCTTCTTCTTCTTCTTCTTCTTCTTCTTCTTCTTCCTCTTCCTCTTCTTTTTCTTTCTTTCTTTCTTTCTTTCTTTCTTTCTTTCTTTCTTTCTAAGATTTTATTTGTTTGAGAAAGAGCAGAGAGAGAGCGCATGAGAGGTGAGGAGGGAAAGAGGGAGAGGGAGAAGCAGACCCCTCACTGAGCTGGGAGCCTGACGTGGGGCTCCATCTCAGGACCCTGGGATTGTGCCCTGAGTCAAAGGCAGCCACTTAACTGACTGAGCCACCCAAGCGCCCCCCCCCCCCAATGCATGTTTCTAAGTTGAGGATTGGGGAGAATGCCTAGTTCTTCATTTATCAGATAAAAAAATTGTGACTCATTGGTAGGTTCCACATCTCACAGCTAGCTAGGGATTTGTTGCGGTTATCACTTAGCCCTTTACCATTTCAATCTAAGAAAATCCCAGTAGGCACAGCAGAGAGAAAACTGGATATATAATTTTCAAAATCTACTGGTCATAGGTTTTTTTTTTAATTTTTTTTTTAATTTTTATTTATTTATGATAGGCACACAGTGAGAGAAAGAGAGAGGCAGAGACACAGGCAGAGGGAGAAGCAGTATCCATACAAGGAGCCTGACGTGGGACTCAATCCTTGGTCTCCAAGATCACGCCCTGAGCTGAAGGCAGCACTAAACCGCTGAGCCAACTGGGCTGCCCCATTCTCTGTGACTTTGAATTTGGGTCCCAACTGCTGTTTTTTTCATTTATTTGTTTATTTATTTAAACTTTTAAAAATATTGTATTTATTTATTTATTTAGAGAGAGAACCCACAAGTGGGGGAGGAGCAGAGGGAGAGGGATAAGCAGACTCTGCACTGAGCATGGAGCTGACATGCACTCCATTCCATGATGCTAATATCATGAACTGAGTCAAAATCAAGAGTGGGTTGCTCAACTGATGGAGCCACCCAGGCACCCCCAACTGCTATCTCTTAGCTGTATAATCTTGGGCTAAATATCTAACCTATTTGAGCTCTGTTTTCTCATCTATTAATGGGGATATAACAGTAACTATCAGGATTATTATTAGATGTTACTATTAACAAACTGAAGCTGAGAGGTTGAGATTTGCTCAGTATCACACAGCTAACAGAGATGAAGCTGGAGTTGAAACTCAGAACTTTGGGGCTCTCTTTACTAAATAAATCATTTTTACCAGTGTCCCTTGGATTGTACCTTGGGGTTTATCCTTGACAATATCCTTACATAAGTAAAATCCAACTTTGGAGACAGAAGTCTGAAAATGGTATCCCAATCCAACAGGAAACTAGAGATCTTCTGGAAGGCAGCTGGAGGGAGGGTGGGGAGAAGGTCAAATTAGGCTTAAAAGACATTCCTGTCTTAGTCCTAGAAAACCTTTAAAAATAATTATTTTGGGTTCTACTCCAGTTTCCAGCTACCAAATGGGGGGCCAGGCATACTTATTCTTGAAAAGACCCACGGGTAATTCTGAGGCACCACTTTGATTGAGAAGCACCGCCTTTTTCTAGACAGAAATCAAGGCTGAAATCACCCCAGAACCTACCAGTGCTCACTGATTAGTACCTGAACCACTTTGGTCTTTGACTTTTCCTATGTTTCATAGAAGCAAGTTTATGTATTTGGGTGGGTCGTGGGAGTAGATGTTTAAAAAGCCACAGGGGAAGGATTGCACCTCTAAGGCTAAAGAGGGCAGGCCAAGCCTCACTTCCTCCCTCTCTTCAACTGGGTTTCCTGTTGTCACAGTGTGAGCACATTTATTTTCCCTTCACTTCTCCTTTTACACAAATAGCCCCTGACATCCGTGTTACCAGCCTTATTGTGACCTCCTCAAGAATAATCACCAAGCCTGCCTAAGGAACTGAAGAAAAGTGCCTGCAAAAGGTAAGATTGGTGACATTTTAATCTGGCTTGAGAGCAAAGATCTGAACCATATTATGTAAGATAGAGTATTTTAGAATTGTCTGCATACCTCTTAGTAGGCCTAAAATCTCCTGCAACTTCTATTTTTCAAATATTTAATGCAGGAAAGTAAAAAGATCAAGATCCTAGAACCCTTCAAAAGACAAGCAAGCCATAAAGACTTTTCATCAACCAGGTTCCTGTTGTCTGATACCTCACTGGGCCAAGGCATTCGTGCTTTAGAACCTAATTGCTTAATTGCCTCAGAACTTGAATTTCTCTGAGTTGTCATTTTTGATGCCTGGAGCCTTCTGTGTGATATGATATTGGGGAGATTTCATACATGCTCAGGTCTCTTAGAAGCCTGATTTTGTGATTTTAAAGTGAGGAGAGAACCAATAGCCAGAGCCATTTAGAAAGGCAGCTGGGAGATGGCAGTTCTTAATTCAACAAGTTTTCATGTTGAATTCCTCACTGTGATTCCTCAGAGCCACTAAAATAGGACAGCTGCAAATGACAACACCGAGTTCAGAGTCAGGAACATAGGGCATGCCCACTGCCTGTATATCAAGAAGTAAAAGCTGAACACCCCTAAAGAGATGCGTAGATTGTTTTCAGACAGAAAGAACATTGTGGTCCTAATGGTTCTGCTGAATAAGCTTGTTCTTGGTATACAAAACATAAATATTGATAAATGTATTATGGCATGCACCAACCAACAAAATTTGATATTGTAATGAGTTCTAATTCATGCCCTGTAACTAGTGACTGGGGTCTTATGGACTCAGAAGGTCATAGTCAAGCTTTTGGTCTTGACTTTCTGTGACCACCATAGTCATTACTGGAGGTCAGGAGGCCACGGAAACACTAAATCAGAGCTTTCTCCTTCCAAGACTTGCAAGCATCTCAACTGATTATGCCCTGGAGGAGAGGAAAATCCTCCAGAAAAATACTTACACATCTAACAATGGAGGATGGCAATGCCACTGGGGGCTCTAGATTCCCAAAGTATCTCAGGGACCATTGAGACATAAATTTAAAAATAAAGACCAGACTTTTTATTTTATTTTTAAAAGATCTTTGAAAAGATTTTTTTAAATTTATTTGAGAGAGCAAGAAGGAGCACGGGGAGGGGGAAGGAGCAGATAGAGAGAATTTTAAGCAGGGGTTGAGCACAGAGCCGGATGTGGGGCTCTATCTCAAAACCCCAAGATCATGACCTGAGCTGAAACCAAGAGTCAGATGCTTAACCAACTGAGCCACCCAGGTGCCCCTTAAGATTATATTTTTAAGTAATCTCTACACCCAATGGGGGTTCAAATTTACAACCTCCCAATCAAGAGTCCTATGCTCAACCAGCTGAACCAGACAGGCACCCAAAGACCAGACTTTTTAATGAATTCATTTACTAATCCTATGTTAAGTGCCTCCTGGGGCCAGGCACTGTGCTTTGGAAGATTCTGGTGGAGAGACAAAATAGCAAGGTAGAGATTTGTCCTGAAAATAGTCCTGCCCTTAAGGAACTCCTGTGAAAGATAAGAGGTATTGGTGTTTTGGAAGAGGATTGAGCAAAAGCATTCTTAGCTGCTGGCTAAACAAAAGTTTTGCTTTCTCAATCTCCACCGGAATCTGCACTGTTTTGAAATTGTGGTTGGTTTGGAACAGAGACTGAACTGAAGATTGATTTCCTGTGTTTTCTGTGTGGGCCACAGAAAGAGTACTTAGCTTATAAATGAAAGGATTGGACACCTTTATACCCACAGGGAATGATTCAAAGCCCATTCTGTCACAGCTAGTGCTGCCTAAGCCACTTCACCTTTGATAATTTTCCAGCATAAACCAGCAAAGTCAAACTCCAATGGTCTTTGGTTTCTGGTGTCCTCAGGTTGCCTTGTGACCACCCAGAGGGCTTCAGACTCCAGATCTGAAGCCCTTCCTCAGTCCCAACCCACAGCATTTGAACAGGTAGGCATTGTGCTGTGTCCCAGAGAAACAGGGATAACCGATGTGCTTATCAATCTCAAAGCATTTGTGGATTCTGGTGTGGAGTACAGACACAACACACAAATACAGCACAATGCGATCTTTTCTATAATGGAGGTAGGATGTGCACAAAATGTCGGAGATGTGTAGGAGTGTGCCTTGGAGAGGAAGTGACTGCTTTCATTCATTTACAAAGTACAAGTTTGCTATAGAGACTGGAAGTAACAGCATTCCAGATGGGGCACTGTACATACACATTCAAAGAGTGTGAGTTGCCCCCTAGACTCCTTTGAAATGAGAATAAGCAAGCAAAGACCATAGTACAGGCTTTGGCTGCAGGAGCACAGGAGGCAGAAATCTCTTTCTCCTGCTTGGTTCTAGAACCAGCACCTGAAAGTGAGAGGAAAGATCAAACAACCAGGCGGGTCCAAGGTCTAGCCCTGGCTGTGGCTATGCCTGAGACATCAGAACTGATGGGGTGTGACTTGAAATGAGAGTGAAGGGGCAGATTTCTTACTCCTTAATCTCAATTTCCCCCAGATTAGGGTAAAGATTGGAGCTCTCTGTGAGGTTATGATCACTGTCTCTCAGCTTCTGTTCCAGGAAACACTGTATTGATTTAGTTACAGTGGTTTGGTTTGTGTTCCTACATTAGTCCTCCCCCAGTACCTCCTGTACTGAATGAGCATCCAGTGTGTGCAGATCACCCTGGGCCCACAGACTGGGTATCTGCCCTCAGGAAGCTCTGGGACTGAGCTGCCACTGCAGGTACAGAGCACTGAAGCAAATTAACCGAGAAACAAGACCACTACACAGAGCAGGCCTCCCCGGGTGGCTGTTGGACTAGAGGAGGCAAGGATTGCAGCTAGAGTGTGACTGTGGGAAGGCTGTCTGGACATAGGCTTTGGGAAGAAGGAAGCCATTTCCAAAGGCATTGGGTGAGCACTCAGAGTAGAGACCATGGATCTCTGTGTTGGGATACAGAGGCAAGTCCTCTATGCATTCCCCACATCACCAGCACACAAGACTCTTCCTGCCCAAGCAGGAACCTCAATACATCATAGCTTCAGCCATGAACTGTTGTAAAGGAAAAAGTGCCGTAAGGACACATTTCTACAATCATTTAAAATAAGAGCACTATTTTCCAAGTGTTAGAATGTTGTTACTTAAATAGAATTTGGGATTATTTAGGTTCAAATAAAATGTTCAACTTGTGGTGAGAGCCCAGAAAATATCAGCTCTTCATAGAATATTCCAAACTGCTTATTTCCAGGTAAGGTGAAACTTGTCCAAAGTCATAAAACTAGTTAAATAGTAATTCCTGATTCCCTATGGAATGCTCTTTTCTCTCCATTATACTATACTCTCTTTTCTTATAAACTTCCTATTAAAAGAGCATCATCAGACTGTTCTTTGTCCATAAATTTTCAGTGCATTTTAACATATGCAAACATTTAAAAATGCAACTTAGTCATAAATCTAATTGATCTGAAGTCAATATGCTAGCAAATGAAATATTTGAAATATATTTAATTTGTCACACTTTCATTTGACATTTTATATTTCTGGAGAACTAGATTGAGGCATAGGATATTTTGATACCTCACATCTTTTAAATTTGAACTCATGGGTTAATACTCACTCTATTAGGAGCAACTAGAGGCCTTAAGGAATTATCCCATGACTCTTCTAAAAACAACTCTTGTGGAATCTCATAATTTATGCCATCAGGGAATTATGATGTAATGACTTAAAGATCAGAATTCCTTAGATCATTTACTTATATTCAATGTTCTCTCTCTGTCTCTCTTTAAATTCAGACTTACAGAAAACTTGCAAAACTAGTACCAAGAATTTCTGAACCCTCTTCACCTAGATGTCCCAAATATGACCATTTTGTCACATTTTCTTTATCCTTCCTTGAGTTTCTTATTTGGGAGTAACTGCTGGTATGATATCCTTTTCCACAGAGTGGTTTACTACGTATTTTCTTTTTTTTTTAAAGATTTTATTTATTTATTCATGAGAGACACAGAGAGGCAGAGACATAGGCAGAGGGAGAAGCAGGCTCCCTGCGGGGACCCTGATGCGGGACTTGATCCCAGGACCCTGGGATTGCGACCTGAGCCAAAGGCAGATGCTCAACCGCTGAGCCACCTAGGTGCCCCTACTACGTATTTTCTAAGAACACAAACATTCTCTTACATACCACTGTATAATAATCAACATCAGGAAATTGATACAATTACAATACTGTTATCAATCTATAGATTTTATTCAGATCCCATCGGTTGCTGATTGATATCCTCATAGTGACTGGAAATCTCTGACCACACCTTGCTTTTAACTGCCTTATTTCTTTAGTCACTTTCTACCTGGAGCAGTTCCTGAATTTTTCTTGTGTTTCATGATATTGATATCCTTGAAGCATACAGACAAGCTATTTTCTAGAATGTCTCTCAGTTTGTTTTGTCTCATATTTCTTCATGACTAGATTCAGAGTATTCAGACTTTTGATGGGAATGCCACAGAAATGGCTTTGATTAGCCCACACAGAGCCTTGCTCATGATAGATATAGCTTGCTTGAATGCACCATAGATGGGTCTCCAGGACAGGGACCATCCACAGCAAGATTCTATGTATTTTTTTTTTAAATTTTCTTAAAGCTTTCATTTATTTATTTAAGAGAGAGAGAGAGAGAGCACGAGCCAGGGCAGCAAGGGGCAGAGGGAGAAGCAGACTCACCACTGAGCAGGGAGCTGAATGCAGGGCTTGATCCCAGGACCCTGAGATCATGACCTGAATCGAAGACAGACACTTAACCAGCTGAGACACCCATATACCCCAAATTCTACATATTTTGGGAGTAAGGAAAGAGAACCTCTAGAAAATGAGCCTCCAAGATTATCTGGATTTGTCTTTCTTCATTTTTTCTCTCCTCTTCACTTCTTCCTTTCTCTCTTCTAAAAATCACCAATTTCTCTCCCTGATAGCAGCT